GACGCCATGCTCCCCTCTCCCCGGTAGATGTGATAGCTCTGCTCTCTGAGGCACACGCAATGAAGCTCCGACCCAGGATGGACGTAGGCTAGAATCTTCCTGGTAAGCGCACCTTGGTGCTAGACATTATTAGAAATGGGCTAGTCCAGGTGCGAGAATTAGCCCGTAAGAGGCTTGAGCTAGTGGGCCAAGCAGTGTTTAAAAGAATACAGTGTCCGTGTAATTATTTCGAGGCATAAGCTAGCAGGTGGCCGGGGTGCTGGGGACGCAGCCCCACCACTCCTATTACAGCAGAATGGCGCCCGACGTGGTAGCAGCAATTTTTCGGGTCTACTCTGCTTGCTAGAGGCAAGCAAGAGCCTCATCTAAGAGAGGCTTCCTGACTCAGCTTTAGCTGCAAAACCCTGCAGCTCATTAAGAGGTCCTGCCACGAAACACGAAAATATCTAAACAAATATAATACACTTATTGGCTGTGCGTAAATCATTTTAACCACTTCCATGGGGCTTTAGAGAATGGTATAAAAAGCTTAACCACAATGCATTCTTGACTGCACAATCAGAAATTTGTAGCTCGTGGCACCAGTAACAAAGCACAGGGACGTGAAGAAGTAAAAGAGTAGGAGTCTTGTATGTGAGTGATTAATTTAGAGCAGACTGTTACAAACATAAGGCATTTAAAGTAAAGGCTGAGCTAACCATACAGGGTTTGAACAAGAGGCCCTTCATAAAAAATAAGAAGGGAACCAAAGCATATCACTGTAAGAAGTGAACAAGACCAAAGAGTAGTCTGAGAAGAAAAGGGTGACAAGTTACAAAACCAAAGAGGTTAACAAATGGGCCCAGTAAGTCTCTATCAACAAGGACTTTAAATGGAAATAGATGAGTTTTCTCAATCAGAAGACAGAGTTGCTGATAGAGTCAACAAGATAAAAAGCTGAGCAGTATGCTTTCCACAGAGATCTACTTCAGACATAGGAACACACTTAGGGCATGGGAGTGAAAAAGTATAGAAAAAGACGACTTAAGTATTACTCTTTTAAAGATCAGTAAAACTGAAAAATCCTTAGCTAAGAAAAAAACGGAAGCCAAATGATCATATAAAGTATGACTCTAGAAATAGACGTTAAGTCAAAAAACTGTTACAAAAGACAGATAGTAGGTAGTGATAAAATAGCCAACCCACCAAAAAATATCATACTTATAACTATGCACATGCAAAACATCAGTGCCAACCATATGAAATAAACTGAACTTTAACCCCAGAAGAACCAGAAAGCAAAGCTTGAATGGCAGATACTGTGCTGGGCCCCTGTGCACGGGGTGACAGGTTGGAATGGTCTACTGTAGACTTTTTCCATCCTTAGTCTCTCCTGAAATGATAGAGCACAGTTTTATTTGCCTTTTGTTCACCTAGTTGGACTGATAGTTGCGTTGAACATAAGCCAATGTATTTCTTGCCATTATACCCAGAACAATACTGTATAACAAAGATCTATGTGCAATTTATATTACAATGGCAGTATAAGTAATTGCTAAGAATCCAGTAAAAGGCTAGAGCATTGGTAGGTTTGAGTATTTGTGATGGCCCTGGTATCAGTTCCCTGTGGATGCCCAGGGGTGATTCTACAATACATTCTACTGACAGGAATGGGGCATACATTCTTTTCAATTGGAACATTGTCCAGGGTTGAGAGAATTTTATGTCACAAAATAAATCTCAACAAATTTGAGATGTTGAAGCCATACCAAGTAGCTTTTGTGACAGCAATGAAATGAAACTGGCAGTAATAGAAGAAGGAAAACTAGAAAAATCAGAAATAAGTTGGAGTTAAACAACACGCTTCTGAGCAACCGGTGAGTTAAAGAAGAAACTCAAAGGAAAATAGAAAGGTTGCTTGAGATAAGCAAAAACAAAACACAGCGTACTGAACCTTACACGATACCAAAATAGCACTAACGAAAGGTTTATAGGGATGAACGAGTGCAATGAAAAATATCCTAACAATATCACTCCATATACTGTGTGACTTGAACAAACTAAGACCAGAGTCCACAGAAGGGTGAAGTAGTAAGCATTTGAACATGAGTACATAACAGAAGTATTGGAAACATGCCAAAAATATTTGAAACTGCTTTTTTCATGATAAACAAAGCTGACACATCTTTAAATGAAAAGAGAAAGTCGCTCCAAATATGTGAAATCAAAAACAAAAGCACAGACTTTATAACTGACACCACAGAAAGAACAAATATAAGAAACCAATGTGAAATATATATATATACACACACATATTTGATATGCCAAAAATTTGAGTAACCTGGATGACATGGACCAATTCCTACAAACTTGTAAACCACCTAGGCAGTATCATTAGGAAACAGAAAGTCTAACCAGCTATCACGGAGAATTGATCCAGAACTCCAGCATCTCTCAGAAAGGAAAACAGTGGACAAGTCTGCCAAACGCTTGAAAAAGTCCAGGACATTGTTTCTTAAACTCTTCAAAAATCTGAAATTGGAACCCTTGAAGATAGATTTATTTTTATGAAGTGAGGATTTCTCTGATACCAAAAACACTGTAAGAAATGAAAAACAGCATTGACCCTGGTTAATATAGATGAATACCACCAACAAAATACTAGCAAGCCAAATCCAAGATGGCATTAGACAGATCATATGTTATAATAACACAGGGCTTACCACTATGATGCTCAAATGGCTGGTGCTTGATCTCTCTCTCTCTCTCTCTCTCTCTCTCTGTCTGTCTCTTTCTCTCTCTCCTCTCTCTTTCTCCCTCCCTCCATATGTATTTGTGTGTATGCCTGAAGATTTGTGTGTGTGTGATTCAGATACATTAACAAAGCAAAGAATAAAGATCACATGTTCGTCTCAAAAAACATAGGAAGAACACTTGACAAAGTTTGACATCAGTGTTAGGGTTTTATTGCTGTGATAAAACACCATGACCAAAAGCTACCAGTGCATCACCAAAGAAAGTCAGGATAGGGAGTCAAGGTAGAAACCCAGAGGGAGGAACTGAAGCAGGGATCACAGAGGAATGCTGCTTACTAGCTTTCTCCTCATGGCTTGCTAAGGTTGCTTTCTTGTACAACTTAGGACCACCTGTTAAAGGTTAGCACTGGGCTAGGCCCTTCCTCATCAATCAATAATCAAGAAAGTTTCCTGTATTCTTGACTACAGGTCAATTTGATGGAGGCATTTTCTGAACTGAGTTCTTCTTTCTAAACTGAATTTAAAAGTGTTACATTGTCCAAAAAAAAAAAAAAAAAAAACTAACTAGCACAACACATTTTGTGATTTAAAAAAAAAGGCTTACTGAACTGATAACAAAAGGAAGGAGATTGCTTGAGCATAATAAAGATTATGTTTTTAAAGCTTGAAGATACATCCTAACCAATGGTGAACAACTGAAACTTTTGTCACTGAAATCAAGAACAAGTCATTGGTGCTCAGTGTCACAACCTCAATTAATATAGTAGTAGAGGATCTATCTAGTTCTAGGCAAGACAAATTAATCAGTTAATTAGCAAACTAATTAGTTAATATCTTTATCATTGTTCTATTGCTATGAAGAGACACTGTGACCATAGCATCACTTAATAAAGGAAAGCATTAAATTGGGACTGGCTTACAGTTTCAAAGGATCAGTTCATTAGCATTGAGGCAGGAAGAATGGCAGCTGTCAGGTAGACATGGTGCTGAAGAGATAGTTGAGAGTTTTACATCTGGGTAGGCAGGCAGCAGAAAGAGAGCAAGACTCTGGCCCTGGCTTGAGCATTTGAAACCCCAGCTTCCTCCAACAAGGCCACACCTCCTAATCTCTTTCAAGTAGCGTTACTCTCTATCAAAAATTCAAATATTTGAGTCTATGGGGGCATTCCTATTCAAACCACCATATTTAGCCAACTAATTAATACACCCTCAATGGTGAAGAATGTGATTTTTGATGGGGGATGGAAGTATTGGGAGGTTGTCATTCAAGATAAAAAAGGTTTCAGAGATAGGATGTAGAATGATAGACATGTAGTTAGCAGTATGAGTCATACTATTGTATATACTTGAGGGTTTTTAATATAGTGTGTTTCTTCTGTGGGATTTCTATGGTAATAATCCAAAATCAAATAGAATGAAGCTTTCAAAACTGAGAAAAAATAATGTTCAACAAAGAGGCTCTGAGTCATATAATTGTGTATTCATTGTATTCTTTCCATTTTTGTCTATTCTTGAAGGGGGATCTGATTCATTCTACAACGAAAGAGTGGATAAGTAAAAACTTAGAGATATGGATGAGGGTCTCGTTAGAAGCATAAAGAGAATTTAGTACATATGTAGGGGCAAAGCCTAAAAATACTCTAATTTGTCTCCTTCCCTGTTTGGGGAGCAAAACCAACATCAGAAGAAACATAACCTGTGAGCTCAGTGACAGGTAACACTCTCTAACCAAGGAAGGCTTTCTGTGATAACATCCATCCCACCCCTGTGGCAGCCTGAATAATGGTGGTGGGTTAGCTGAGATAGCTTGCTTTTACCTAGCAGCAGCCGGAATCCAAGTCTTGTTCTCTTGGCCCCTTGTGTTTGAAAAGGGCAAAGTAGCCAGGAGTGGTGGCACATTCCTTTTAACCTCTCCTCTCAGGAGGCTGAGGCAAAAGGTTATAAGTCCTAGACCAATCTGGTCTATATGGTAAAGCAAATTATTTTAAAACATAAAAGAAAAAATCAGAGTAAAATAATCTAAAGATGTTTGATGTTTGTGTTAGACCAGATGAATTCTGCATGGCATTTTTTTTTATTTTTGGATTGTAATGTAGATATGCTACTTTGAATTTAAGCATTAAGTCGAGTGCCTGTGATACTGTCAATATTTTCCCTTAGTGCATCAATATATCGAAAAGTCTTAAAGTCTTGGTGTTTTTTTTTCCTGAAGGATTGCATGATCATTTGAGCTTGTATTTTTCTCTTTTTACTTTAAAATTATAGATCATCAAGTTATTGGATGGAAAACGATCTCAAACTGTGGGAATCTTGATATCTAGTTTACATTTAGAAATGAAAGACATCCAGCAGGGTAAGTCCTTCCTGTCATTTCCCTCTAGCCTTCAAGTTCTCCATAGCTTTCCATGCATGCTAATTCTATCCGAGTGCAGCTTCATCTTGACATTTTTGTATGGGTATATGAGGTATGTCTTATTTCTCCCCTGTTGCCTACATCATCCATCCTGCATTTCCAGCTAGTCCACTTTCTACTCTCTTCTAACAGTCCTCCTCTGAAATCTCTCTGAACATTCTGTTGTGAAAATTTTCCAAAACACCTAAAAGTTAGACTGTCTGGTAACTGACATCCAGTTAAACATCCGTTGTTACTTTCGTTTGATATAGGCAGTCCCTCTACTAGCTAGATAGTTATGAAAAACATGTCTCAGCCATTTTGTAACTTATCTTGCAAAACCATTAGTACTACCAATAAAAGATGAAGGGATTGTCCCAAAATACAACTGTATCACCATTCTCTTGTCTTGAAATTGATTAACAAATTTTTCAGTATCTTTATTTATTATTACTATTTTTATTGAAATCTACATTTTTCTCTGCTCCCCTTCCTGCCTCTCTCCTTCCCCCTTTGACCCTCCCCCAAGATCTCCATGCTCCCAATTTACTCAGGAGATCTTGTCTTTTTCTACTTCTCATGTATATTAGATTCATGTATGTCTCTCTTAGGGTCCTCATTGTTGTCTAGGTTCTCTGGGACTGTGATTTGTGGGCTGGTTTTCTTTGCTTTATGTTTAAAAACCACTTATAATAATTGTCTTTCTGTGTCTGGGTTACCTCACTCAAAATAATGTTTTCTAGCTCCATCCATTTGCCTGCAAAATTCAAGATGTCGTTATTTTTTTTCTGCTGTGTAGTACTCCATTGTGTAAATGTACCACATTTTCCTTATACATTCTTCAGTTGAGGGGCATTTAGATTGTTTCCAGGTTCTGGCTATGACAAACAATGCTGCTCCCTATTTTCATTTTGAGTGTTACCTTGGCAGTTTATTTGTTGAGGAAACCCACTCACTTGTCTTACAGTTTCCCACTTCGATATTTTGCCAGTTTTGCCAATCACCCTAGCATGTTTTATCTCTCACATTCATCTATCCTCTGTGTTTCCTGTGCAGTGTTGGTTTGGTCTAGATTTACAGTAGGTAAAAGAGGAATTCTTCATAGATGCTGTACATGCCAGATGTTATATTTACATGATTTCTTCAAAGTTAGTATTGAGTGGATCATGAGGTTAGTAGGCACTGAGGATTTTTGTCTAGGCTTATTCCTTCATTAATATACAAGATATTTGATGTATGGATTCAATCATTTCTTATTCTTTAGATTGAATATGCCTATATAGGAAAACATATAGTAACCACTTGATTTTTGCCATTGCCCCCCTGTACACACACACATGCACACACATGCACACACTTCCTTCTTCAAATGATAGCATTTCACTTTGTTATCTTTGGTGCCTTTTTAAATAAGAGCATCTAAAGAGACTGATGCATAGACTGGCTACAAAAAACTTGAATTAAGAGAAGGGAGAAAAATCCCACCTTGATTTCTATATTAAAAATTTTGTCTTTCATATTAGTTCCCCAGAAAGGCATATGAATAAAAATAATCTCCAGAACCTGAAGCCTAGAAAGATGACTTACTAAATAAAATGCTTCTTAGAGAAAGCTTTAAAAGATTTGTTTATTTTTATTTTGTGTGTATGGATGTTCTATATGCCTGTATGCCTGTGCACCATACATATGCAATACCTGGGTGAATCAAGAAAACATTAGTCTTACCGGAATGGAGTTATAGTTATTGTTAATCACCATGTTGGTTCTGGGAACTGAGTCCAGGTTCTCTGCAAAAGCAACAAGTGCCCTTAACCACTGAGCAATCTCTATAGCCCCCTTTTATTATAATTTTAAAACTAATAAGTTTTATTTGTATACAAGAAATGTATATAAATAAAAGGTAGACCAAAAGGCATCATGCCTTTTGTATTTTACATTAAAACAATATTCCCTTTATTTATCCATCAACTAAATGTAAACCTGTACTTAGATGTTCCACTTATAACATGAAGGGGTTTTGGTATAGTGGAGCATGGGTTTAATGGCACAAGCATTCTGAAGCAACCCTTTCCTTAAGGTGTTAGCCCCTGTTGCTCAAAGTCATTTGTCTCTGCTGCTACTCAGGAGAAGGTTCCTAAAGACACGCAAGTCCTTTTCTTACACTACTTTTCCTTTCAAAATGGATTTGGTAGAAGATTGAAATTTTTCTACATTACAAAACAATTGGGTTTATTAAAGATAATAAAACATTTTAAGTAAATGACAGTCACAGAGTATTCAAATAGGCTGACCTAAACAAATATTTTTGACTTAATATTAGAACCAAGCATGTAAGTATGAATATTAAACTTGAACAATATTATAGCTGATGGCAGTTTGGAACAGTTTCAAGCACCTTCTGGTGTTTGAAAGGCCTACTATTGAGATTAAAAGTTTTCATTGGCTTTAGAACCTTTTAGAAGAAACTTTAGATCAGGATTTGATAGTCTTTTGATGAGAAACTACCATATAATCCTTGGAATGAGAAAGTTCACCAACTGTGGTATAAGAGTTTTGCTTTTAACTTGTGCTTCTCACGCTCTTGGTAAATCCCTGGGAGATGAGATTTTAATCTAATAATGTGGATATGAATTTTCCAACTTTCAACATCACCTGAAACATTGTTCAGTTCCTTTTACGTATGTGTCACTGAGTATGGCAGATTGTCATATAGATAAGGGGCATTTGAGTCATGTGATGTAGCAGTTACCAACTCAGGACCATACACTTTTCCATGGCATTACAGTCCCATTGGACTGATAGTCATTGTGAAGTGAGCAAGATTTTAGTTCGTCTGAACCTTTGCTACTCTGGTCAAGAACATTGTGTATGTGAAGCAAACCTGATCTCTCATTTCATCATTTAAAACCCTAACCATAGCATCACAGAATTATATATCTTATGTGTATGATTATAAACTTTTCTCTGCCTCAAACTCCTATGTTACTGTGGTAGATTTGGATGTCATTGGCCCTCATAATCTCATAGTGAGTGGCACTATTAGGAGGCTTTGTTGGAGTGGGTATGGCCTTGTTGGAGGAAGTGTGTCACTGTGGGGGTGGGCTTTGAGGTTTCCTATGCTCAGTTTACTACCCAGGGTCAACTTCCTGTTGCCTGCAAAATGTAAGACTCTCAGCTCCTACTCTGGCACCATGTCTGCCTGCATGCCACCATGCTCCCCATCATGATGATAATGGACTGAACCTCTGAAACTGTAAGCGAGCCTCCTCAATTAAATTTTTTCCTTGTAAGAGTTGCTGTTGTCATGGTGTCTCTTCACAGCAATAGAAACCCTAACTAAGACAGTTATGCTCTACACAGTTGGCTCCTAAGTTCTAAAACACTAATCTCCATGTCATTTCTTCATGTAATAATATATACCTGATGAATACAGCAACATAACCAGAAGCTATGTTATTAAATTATTCCTGTAGAGTCCTTGACTGACACTGGTTTCTGAATGAGATGTCATTCTGAATCCAAGTCTGATTGTGAATGGAATTTGCTTGGCCCTGTGCTGTTGTCCTGTTGAACAGATTCCTCAGGCTGATGGAGCCGGAGACATTAACGTTCACGTGAGGGAACTGGAGCAAGATCTGATGGGAGGCATCAAACTCACAGCTAGACAAACCCTCACTGGCAACACGGTCAGTTAAGAGCATATCCTTTTCACCTCCTAGACATAAAATCATATTTGTCAGGGTGCCAAGAATAAAGATGTTAACTTGTCCTTTTCAAAGTCTCAGGAAATAGTGTATATAACCTGAAATCCAGTACCTAAAAGCTCACATTTATTGCACCTAAGCATCTTCTCAACTACAGCATTGGAAAGGTCCAAGCCAGCTACGATCTTGTTCACCTCACAATGAATAGTCAGGCCAGGGGGGCCGTAATGCCGTGAAAAGGTTTATGATTCTGAGTTGGTTAACTGCAGTATCACATGACTCAAAATGACCCTTATCCATGTGGCAATCTGTCATACTCACCAGGACATACGCAAAAGGAACTGAATAAAGCCTGTTGTACGTAAAACAGTGGCCGTGCTTGCTCATTGTTCCATCCATATCCTCGTCTCCACTCGATGTTATGTATATTCATGCCATTTCCTGAGTAAGATGTGATCTGTACTCCAGCACGTGCACAGAAACACAAGAAACATATTTTGAGTAAGGGGCAGGTAGATGATGGTAGAAGCACAAAGAAATAAGCATAGACAAACTCTGAAAATGAAACACTTAATTCCTGAGAAATGTACTCTTCAGCTTGCCAGCAGAGGGACCTGTCGGCCTCTAGAAGCACTTCAGGGTTCCTATTTTCAAATGATAGCTGTCCTGCTGAGATTATAACTCTGTCTTTCTGTCTGTCTGTCTGTCTATCTATCTTCTACCTACCCATCTTCCTATCTGCAATGCCAAGTATCAAAGGTACAACCTTGTCCATCCTTGTTATTTGCTCTCAGATTTGTTCTTCTACTTTCTCACCGTGTGTTATTTTTAGCTTTACACAGGGCTCAATATATTGTTTGGTTTGCACATCTGTTTTTCTGTCATTTGCATATACTCTAAAGATGTAAACTCCAAGAAGGAGAGTGTCCACAGATGCAAACCCCAGAAACCTCCTGTTTGTGCCTGGCATCCACATGGTTATCATTAAGGGCTTGTTGAGTGAATAAATGAAGATGGTTATGGTGATAGTTAACTGTGGTTGCCATCCTGATTGGATTAAGAGACACCTAAGGTATGAGGCACGCTTCTGAACAAGTCCATGATAGCATCTGCAGAGACAACCAGCTCGTGAGGGCTCTGACTTGTCATGTTGTTGAGGGCTTTTTTCTTCTTCTGGCCTCTCCCATCTCCCCCTTCATTCTGCTTCCTGTCCATTAGGAACTGAAGTACAGTTTTGTCACATGTGTGTTGCGACAA